CTCGGTGGGACTCTGAACTGCCAGCCATCCCATTCAGGGCCATAGGGGAGCTGGAGCCTATCCCAGCAAGAGTGGGCACAAGGCAGAGGACGCCCTGCACAGGATGCCACTCCATCACAGGGCACACACACTTACACCAGGGCCGATTTTCCCAGCAGCCAATTAACCTACCAGTATAGCTCTGGACCGCGGGACGAAACCGGAGCACTGGGACTAAGCCCACGTTCCCACGGGGAGAAGATACAAACCCCTTGCAGAAACGATTTGAACCCAGAGCCACTGCAGTGCGAGGCAGCAATGCTAGCCACTGTGCCAACAGGACACCTCTGCTCAGACGGATCCCTCCTTTATTTCCAAATGTCAAGATTTTGGTCTAAGCTTCATTCCTGTTCAGTGTTCCACGGATGACTGCTTGTCGCTTCTTGTTCTGACCTAGATCACACAGGACTACCTGAGGATCTTGGTCTCCGTGTTTCTCCAGAAGCACCTCTATGCTGACAGTACCATCTTTGTGGACCTGGCCCCTCTGCTGCCCTATGCCACTGTGCCTGATATCTTATCGCTGCCCCCACTACAGGGCAATACAGATGTGTAAGAACTTTGGTTTGCTGTGTGCTGCTTGCATCACTTTTCTGCAAGACTTTAGCCAGGAGAGGCGCTGCAGGAGACCTCAGGTTGGGGTTGGACTAAGGATGGAAATAGCGTGGTGTTAGAATTACAGAATTTACAGAAATATCTAAAGTGACATTTAGGGTTGTGCTAAGAGATGGGTTTAGGGTTAGAGTTACAGTTGGACCTGGGATTAGCGTTAGGGTTATTGTTAGGGTGTGCTTATGGTTAGGATTTGACCTTGTGTTTTGTACTTACTGATGAGCTTTTTTGAGCAGTACCTGCTATTCAAATGAAGGCTAAGTGTTGACATTCATTTCTCTATCAACTCCAGGCTGAATATCATAAATGCCAACCTGCAGAAGCTTTCTCTCGACCAGAAGAAGGCATTTGGGAAATGGTTCAGCTCCTCCAGCCTCTTCTTAAACACGTCTTCTAATCCCCCGACTTTCATCCAGGACACCGGAGATCTGATAGTGTACCTTCCCTTCAGCAAATTCCAGAGTCTCTCATCTGTGCAGGTAACTAACAACAGCCATGCTGTGAAATAAGCAAACTTACAGTACAAATCAGAATGGAACTGATCATGCTCAGAAACCACTGCATGTTACTGCTATGTGGATCTCTTCACTATCACTGCAAATGAAGAGCTGGTGTCCAGAGAGGTGCACTAGTTAAAGGAAGAGCTCGGTCATGAAAGCATGGCTGCTCAGATGCTTTTAGTGGTCTCCAAATCACTTAAGCTGCAGTTGCAATGTGTGATTCTTTCCCGTTTCAGATTTTCAATGGTCTTGACGTTCTCCTGAACAACTCCCTGAGCAGCCTGCAGAGTCAGTTTGTGGCTCAGAGCATTCTGAAAGCATACAGAAACCTGTCTTCTTCTGACATTAAGATGTGAGTGTGTAAATTCAACATTCAATGCTGGAAAAAAAGAAACAGCAAGGTACTGTTATTTTTATGTCCTGAGAAGGAAGCTGTCACAGGGAGGGCGGGGGTGCCCAAGTGAGTTCTTTTAAAATGGAATGATGGCTCAGCCGCAACAGCATTTGCAAAAGTGGTGGTTTATTTGGACAGTGCTCCCCACAAACCAACAAACAATTATATATAGTCCAAAAATAACAAGTAGAACAAAAATACACAAAAAATATACAAACCCTTCCTCTAAGAGTTATAGACCAGGAGTTCCACCACACTGAGGTCCTATCAGCTACCTCCCTGTGACATTTGGTGGCAGCAGTGGGATTCCTGGCCTATGACTCTCGGTTGGGTGCAAAAGTGGTTGAGCCATCATTCCATTTTAAAAGAACACCCCTCCAGCCCTCCCTGTGATAGAAGCAAAAAGATCTCGATCTCTGTTAATCTACCAACTTGTGCACTTCATCATCGTGAGTAGTGTTACATTAATTCACAACTGGGACTTGTATAGCTTTCCCATCAAGCAACTGTGTCAAATACTGAATGCAAAGCTGTCAGCGAAAAGTCTGAGGACAATGAGAAAAAACATTTAAAAGGGGGAGATCATTTCTGTCAGATTGGTGTTTTGTTTTTCGCCCTGTTACCATTTTGGATCTGCTCTTTGCTTTCCACAAGGCTGGGGAACCTGACCTGTTTTGCGAGCACTGTCGATTTACTGGCATACAAAAAGAGGGAGGCCTTCGCCACGATCCAGGAGAATGTGAAGGAGTGTATCCAACAGGGACTGGCGGTTCCCGGTGAAATGGTAAAACTAGGAGTCTCTGAATCCCTACCCTGTAGCACTGGAAGCCCGCTGGTTTATTCCTCTCACCTAGTAGGAGGAAAAAAATAAGAGCGATCAGTTACAGGTTGCATTTTGTTTCATTGTCTTGACGGGTGCTCTCAAGGTCTGCTGTTGTCAAGGCAGGCTGTTTCAAGAACAGCATGCTGTGTGATCTCGTCCGTGTGGAGAGCTCTCCTTTGAGATGATGTGTCTTGTGCAGATCTCGGGGCTGTTCCTCAGTGACAGCGGGCTGCTCAAGAACACGAGCTCTCTCAGCGCGCAGCAGCTCTCGGACCTGGCGGAGCTCCTGCCCTGGCTGGGCCTGCCGTTCCTGCGCCAGCTCTCCTCAGCACAGCTGCTGGCCGCCCTCCCCGCCCTGCACACCAGCCGCTTCACACCTGCGCAGGTGAGTCAATGCACACCTCATCATAGCCTTTCACTTGTGCAAAGGTCTTCCCTTGCATTCCTGTCTGCTTCACTGCTTTCCCTCTCCTGTTCTGTGTTTTTAGCCTCCTGTTCCTGTTTTCTGTCTTATAATACTCAAGATCCAGAAAGGAGACCTGGCACTTAAATTCCATTGTAAGTCTTTGCTGCAGCTAAGCCTTAATTACCAAAGTGTTCTTTAAGATCTGGAATAATTAAGCAATTAAGGATCAATTCAGTGTAATTTGTTTATTAGAATATTCAATGTCTTGTAATGGTATTGAATTACCAAGCTCGGTTTTGTCCAGCAAGATCAGTGGTAGACTAAAGTAATTCATACTGCGGTAAGCATTAATAAGGATAGTTGTGCTCAGCACTTGCAAACATTTTGCTGTGGTAATTCGTGATATTGTTGTAGTGTGTTTTAGTAAAACCCAGCGAAACCAAGACAGAGCTTTAGGAAAGTAAATGGCAATGAATGTGAATACCCATGGTATTGGTGACCACACCAGGCTAAATGTCCATAAGGGATTATCTACATGCTGGGGGGGGAAGTGACTCTATATTCAATATCCCGGTGAGGGTGAGACGGATGGGCTGTCCACACAGCTGTGGGATGGAGACTGACACGCCCTGCTGACTGCTGAGAAAGGCCCACACAGTCGCTGTTTGTTTCCTGTCCCTCCTTCTGAAGCCTTTGATTAAAACAGCGTGACTGAACCCCGGCTGTTTCACAGCTGACTCAGCTCACTTTGCTATAAAATATAATGATTCTGTTTCATAAAACACAAAAATAAATTACGATCATCCTCATTCCCTGAACTTTATTCAGTGTTTGGTCTTTTAGTTGTCTATCATTTGATTATAATAATACTGAATCCCTGTCGTGTGTAAAGTAATGATTTTGTATTTTGTTTCTTTTTATTTTGTAGGCCTGGGAAATTGTTGACAAGATCTCGCAGAGCAACAGTGTAGGTGTCGTAAGGCTTTTTGGGGATTTTTTTAGTGCTCTCCCTCTGAAGCTCAGGCTGCTGCGTGCAGAGTGTGCCAGAGGACTGATTATTTAAGGACAAGGCCTGGACAAGCTGCTCGGCTTGTGTCTGGGAAGTGCGGTGTATGCCGGTGTCGATTCCAATCTGAAACAGGATGAGCGCAGGGTGTTCAGTAACCAAATCATTTCAGTCCTTCAATGGAAGAAGAGGCCCACAGAAGCATCTTGTTATGTCTTTAAGACTTCTCCAGCTGCGTCACTTGGGTTTTTGTTTGCATACGAAAGGCACCGTCCCCGCGCAGCAGTAGATGTGTTGAGTTTGAGCACAGGAGTGGGTCTGAGTGAGGGTGCTGTCTCTCCACAGCTGGCGGTGACCGAGCAGCTGTCGGCGCTGGGCTCTCTGATAAGCGGTGTGCGGGTGGAGACACTGCAGTCTCTGCCAGGAGACGTATTCCTGGCCGCTCTGCCCAACATCACTGCCATCCCAGCCCTCCTCAGCCCCGCCCAGACGAATGCCATCACCGCCAAGCTCTGGGTAAGACTGGCGACAAACCACCCCTCAATGGGTCACCCACTGCCTTCAGAAAAGACGAGTAAAATCTGGACAGGATCGACAGCCAGATTATCAAAGAATGCACTCTTATCCTTTGTGATAAAGGACAGGACATGCACTGGGAATGGAAGGATTTAGACTGACGGGTAGAGTGAACTCTTTACATTCTGGAATGTCTGTCTGTGTGTCTCCAGGGCTCCCAGGAGATCTCGGGCCGGCTGGCCTCTGCGGATTCCCTGCTGCCTTTTACAGCCCTCCTGAGTGTGAGACCCCACGCCTCCCTGCTTCTCGCCAACCTGACCACTGCCCGGAAGTGCAGCTGGAACACGCAGCAGGTCTGGTTCCCTGGTACCCCATGTGTCCAGTCAGAGACTATGTCTGTCAGGCGAGCTGCCTTCTAAAGTTCAATTTGGGGTTCTTACACATTTTGAGACCTCAATACCTCAAGTGTATTGCACTCCACTGCACAAGTGCTTGCACACTGTTGGCCGTGCACTGGACCCTCCCACTTACAGCCACTCACATGCCCCGCAAAGCTAAACCTCCCGTGGGGAGAGACAGGAGGGACGAGGGTCTTTGCTAGGAGACGTGTCACTGCAGCAACCACCTGATTGCTGTTTCTTTCATCTCGGCAGGGCGAGGTCTGGGCTGTGTGCCGTCTTCATTTCCTTAATTAAGTGTTGAATTATTAACGAGCAGGTCAGGGCTGCTTTAGGGTGACTGGACCAGGAGTGCCTCAGTACGCTGCCTGTTTCCTCACGCTCTGATCACAGAGGAGCAGCAGTTAACAAAGCGTGCTCCATCAGCTGTAACATGTCAGCCCTTTAACAAGCTGTACGTCTAAGCTGGCTGGGGAAGCTGGTTTATCCTCTCCTAATCTGTATATTAGACTGTCTGTGCAATTAAACCCCTTGCGTGCTCCTTAGCTTCCGAGCCTACAGACATCTGACAGTGAAGCGGAAACTGATCAGATGAACATAACAAATCACGCCAACGAATCTCGTATGGACCTAAAATAGACAGGACAGCTCGACATTGCGAATGAATGAGCAGGGCCTGATGCCGATAGTCATGCTGAAAGCTAAACATTATCCCATGGGTGCTGTCAAAAAGTGAAGTGCTCTGTAAACGCACACTTAAATATGGGTGGGTCTTTTCTTCTTAAAAAAAAATATTAGTAAGAAAATCTTCTTTTCCAGGCCAAAGTGCTTTTTAAAGAAGCCCTGAAGACTCTGGTGAACATGTCTACAGATGATTTCTTGTAAGTTGAATACTGCACTGCAGAAGATAAAATACAGACAGATTAATTTTTTAGTCTGCATTGTTCAGCCCTGTGAGCTCATATATCGCTGTAGGAAGAAGTGACAAAGCAGGAAGCCACTGTAGCAAACTGAAATTGTCAGCCTGGCCTACAGGAGACAATTTGCACAACTATAAGTTAGGCTGAACATTTAAGGTGTGGTTTTCATTAGCAAGGAAAATATGATGTCTGTAAAATAGATGCATTGATAGTTCTGCCACTGGCCAGCTGGTCCCCCTGAGTGGACTGCACCCCATCTGTCATGTCCTGTTGAGATAGTGCCCTACTCTGTCCGTCCAGTCACACGCGAAGTCTGCTGAGCGAAGAATGATAAAGACCTTTTGTCACCACTCACTTCTCACAGGTGGGGCTGGTGGGATAGCTCCTCATTTATCACGTGCATCGGTTTCATGAACTGCATCAATCTTCGTGATCTAAGAATTGCGAATCGTACTGTGCTCTCCACACATTAACAATCTTTCTTCTTATTAAAAATCCAGTTCTGCTAATAGCTTTTGTTTTCTAATTAGCCACACATTTAATAGAGCATGATCATGTGTAACACAGTCTCAACAGATTTGGACATTCCTCTTCACACGTGTGGGAGGCGTGATGTAGAAGTTAAAGATGAGGCTTTGGAAATCTGCATCTTAAGCTGGGTTTCCTATTTCAGAAACTGGGTCGTTAAATTCAAGTTATAGTGTTTGTTTGTGTTGAAAGTAATTTGTGGCTGTCTGTTGTGTGTGTGTCCAGACGTCTGGGGACGGTTGTCCAGGGAACTGACTGTGGATCTCTGAGACACCTCTTCCTCTCCCGGCCTTCCGTTTCTTCAATCAGTACAATCCTGACCTTTCTGAGAGATCTCCCTGTCGACCTTCACACCTCAGTGGTAAGTACAATGACATGTGAGCCCTAGGCTCCGTCTTTCAAGTAGGAAATCCTCAAGCAGGCATCTCTGCGTGAGACTTGTATTTTAATTCTTGAGAACAGGTTTCAATGATCTTTGATCTCAGAACATGTTACTTATCCCTGTCTCCCTGCCACCTATCCATCAGAAAAAGTGCATCAATGAGGAGCTGTACAGTTTCAACTTCTTCCCGGAGCTGCTGGGGAAACTGGGCAGTCAGATAGCTCTGGAGATTTCGTGAGTATAATCTCTTTTGCTTTTTTTGTATTTTGCTTTATGTGACACTCATAGATTTTGACATTTGACTGTGCTTTTTTCCCCATTTGGATTATTTGCTGCGGTTTTCAGTTTTTAATTGGCTCTTTCAGTGTGGTAGCTTGTTTCTCTTTCTCCCCTGCTCTCTCTCTCCGTATATCCCCTGTGATGACATCTGTAGAGTCAGCACCATAAAGAACTTCCCTGTGGACATGATGAATACTCTGAAGAGGATGATAGTGGGGGCCCCACTGTACTTTCTCCGTTTACCCAACATCAAACAGGTCCTGCTGGTGGACAAGATTGTACAGAGGCTGGTAAGAGCAGTATCAAGCTGTCCTGTTAGTTTCAGTGACGCTGTCCTGGACTGTTTTAACTGCAGGGGGGTTTGTGATCTTCAGTTTTGCACATTCCGTTTCACCTTTTTATACATGATTGTTTCTTTCTGATAGTTATTTGATAAAAGCTGGTCACTGTTTTTTTACTCATTGTCACTGTTGTTTGTATTTAAGAAAGCGATTACATTACTAACTTTGATTTCCTATTGTGTCCTAATAAGAACTAAAGCTTCCCACTATAAAATCAGAAAATGTCTTAAGGGTGGCAGAATTCCAACTTCAAGAGTGCTTGAAGTTTCCAAATTGCTTTTCTGTAAATGTGTGATGTGTGTTTTTCCTTTTTTGAAGAAGGTGCAGTAAAGTAACAGTGATGAACATACGTCATGAAAATGACCCAGTGTATTGACTGTGCTATGCCATGGGTTTGTAAGTGTGTGGCTGTGTTCTATTGCATCTGCTCTTCGCTGTGCTGTTGCAGGCGATTGGGCAGTGTCATAGAGGGATGCTGTGAGCACGTGTGCTGTCTTGCAGGGCATGCACACAGGGGAGTTCTCCAAGGACGAGTTTGAATCCCTGGGCGCCATGGCAACCTTTGTGGTGGACGAAATCTTTGTCCAAATCAACCGGCAGTATTTCGTGGAAAACATCGAGTACATCAGGAGCTTCTGCTTCGATAAGAACAAGAAAGAAATCGTAGGGAGGATACTGCAGGAAAATGCCACTTTTGGGTATGAAATCTCACGATGAATAAAAAGAAAGCCTTGGGCTTTTAGGGTTGGACTTCGCCTGCAGGAAGCATCAAGCTAAACTCCGAAAGCATCATTTTAATAAGAGGTTTGCGTGGGGAGCTGAGTCCGCGTGAGGTGCAGAGGACCAAGCAGATGTTATTTCCATACTGTGTTCACACATCTGAAGAGGCTCCACAGCCAAAATGTTGTGCTTTTCTTCTTTCTTTTTACTTTGCATTTTGCTGTTAATATCGTCTTATTCCTATATTAAGGCTACAGGTAATTACCATGCCTTGATTGGATAAATACTGGGTACCAGTAATTTGCCTCCTTCTCTTGATTTGTTTTTTTGTATTGGAAAGAAAGTCCCACTGACTATTCTCTGTCTTTTAAGGCCTGTACCGAGCTGGACATCACAGACACTGGATCAGGTGGACAGATTTGTTTTCTTCCTTCCCAGAGCCACTGTCCAGCAGTTGCCCCCGGTAGGCAGAGTGCCCTCACAGAGGAAATATGAATCAGAGCCTTTTACATGTGTGAATGGGCCATGCTGACCTTCCTGTGTCCTTGTTTCAGATGCTGATGACCCAAGAGAGGATAGAGAAGTTGTTTTTGGGCCAGCAGAAGTGGGAGAGCAGTGAGTTTGGCGCCCTCTGTCAGCAGAACACAGATGCATCGGATCTGCGAGCTGTTTTCGAGAGTCAGCAGTTCACACTTCAGCACTTTCTGGGCTTCCTGAGACCTGGAAAGCTCTCTAGGATAAGTAAGCCAACATAGCCTGCAACAATTGGTTATTTCTCTTCTTTTTTAGTTCAGTGCATTTTTCAATAATTCTGAAATATTTGTTTCCTTTGAATGGAGAAAGTAGTTACAGTATGTTGTTTAGAACATGTTGTTAATGTCAGAGCTTCCTGGTTGAACCTTGGTTTCATGATCTTTTTACCCAATATACCAGTGGGTGGCACCTCTCTCTGATCACCCTCCCCTGCATGTGTAATGTCAGCTACGTCTATCTCCCTGGCAGCTCCGACTCTGGTGCCCAGCTGTGAGAGTCTGCGTGCCACCCGTCCCTCAGCCTGGAGTGTGGACAGCCTGACCAGCATGCCTGCTGAAGCATTTGTCAACTGCCTTGAGCTGATTGGCCAGGAACCCTTCTTCACGCCCTATGAGCTCACGCTGCTCCTGAACAAGGTCAAACAGGTAAGGGAGTGAGTGAGCAGTCACACAGCTAGAGCCCACTCACGATCGAGCTCCTCAGCAGGGAATAGACACAATTCACCTAACCTCTCAGTTAAAAGCCACCAAGAAGTCGAGGAGTGTCTCTCAGAATCAGGGCAGAAATCTCATTAATGGTTGCTTGTTACAAATAAGATTTTCTCGTGAGGCCAATCCATTTAGAAGCTCACTTTAGCTCCTCCTAAGACTTTCAGCTGTACCACAGCATCGCTGCAGCTCCTCTGGTCCCATGTCCCTGCAGATCTACGGCCCTGCCTCCTCCTTCTCCCCCAGCGTGGTGGCCCAGCTGGGCTACCTGGCGGTCCGGCTGACAGATGACGAGCTGAGCCGCCTGGCCCTGTCTGACCTGCGCGCTGTGTCTGCCCTGGGCCAGGTCGACACCTGGAGCCCCAGACAGGTACACCTCACGCGGGCGTGTTAGTGCTGGGGTGTGGGTACGTACCCTTGCTGGATCATTTCTGTATTGATACAACAGACGACAACACGCACAACAGACACACTTCGTCATTTTCTTTTTTTCTGTCTCTACTTCTCTCCTTCTCTGTCTCTGATTGTGGTTTTATGCATATATATTTGGTTTTGGAAAGCAGTATAAACTGCATAGTTGGAAATCTTCTGCCTTTCTGATTATGCTTATTGTTGATATGATATGATAGGATATTCTTTTGTACTGGCTTAGTTTAACAAGGAATCTATATTACTATTTTTTTCCCGCTTCTCAATTAACTATACAGTTAAAGCCATAAGTTTTTCCTTTGCTGGCCTTGCCTGGTTGAAAGGCATAGACATAAGACATCAGTGTCCTGCTAGTTTATGTAGGAAGAGCTGGACAGCGTTAGTGTTGTGAGAGTGCAGGAAAGTGAGGCTGCTCCACCCCCTCTCCCACAGCTCTCAGTGCTCTTCGGATCCGTGCTCAATTCTACCAAGCTAACAGCCAGCAAGCTGGACTCCAACACGCTGGTGGCACTGGGGTATATTGTGTGTGGGATTAAAACTGCTGACATGACGGCCCTCAACCCAGTGGAGTTCAGGTAGGGCTGAGGCACCGGCTCAGTACAGAAGCAATAAGAATGTCAGATGGGTATATGATGAGAACACACCATTAGACCACAGGAGAACCTCATTTCCTTAGGGACCACATGACAGCATTGTAGGGACAGGGCTTATTATGTCACTTAAAATTAAGTGTTATTAAAAATTTCAAATAATCTTTGTTTGTCTTGACCAAGCAGCCTGTAATCTGTCACAGAATCTCCCACATGAAAAGACCACCAGGTCATCCCAAGGCTGAGATCACAATCAGGGGCTCATTCCTGTGACAGGCTACAGGTTGCTTGGTCAAGACACACACAGATTATCAGAAATCTTTAATATCACTTACTTTTAAGTGCAATAATAGGCCTTGTCCCCACAAGATCTATCAGAGCATCCAGCTGAATAGAAAAGGCTGCAATTTGATTGCCAGTATGGAGCCACACTCAACATGTTTCAGTTTCTAAAAAATTGATTTATGTTCCAAAGCTCTGAATGATGTGGTGATTTCATCTTGCAATGGAGGATGCTGCTGAGTCAATTGCCCAAACACAAAGAAGGTTCAACACTTCATCGAGTTCATGTAATCTTTTGCAAGTGGCTTTGAAAACTATGCATGCTTCATTGACTTGAGTCATTGACTGGGTTATGCTGAGGGTATGGTAGGTGAAGCCAAAGTGAAGAGGGTTTGGCTGTGAAATGCATTGTTTAAGACATGCTTAAGCCACTGCTACAAGCTTAAAGAGTCTGTCTCCCTCCCTGACAGTAAGGCAGTGCTGTGGATCGGCCGGATAAACCTGCCCTGCTCAGAGCAGCAGCTGGGCTCACTGGTGGGCCTCCTGTCTCAGGCGGCGACGTTCGGGCCCATCAGCTCCTGGGGCCCCGAGGTCTTCATGGAGATCGGCTCGGTTGCAGGTACCCGCTACTTCCCTCACGCAGCCCCTGCAGGCCAGCCCGAAGGAGCCCCCACACTCTCACTGCACAGGAGATGGAGCGAGGCCTTGGGTCTGAAGGTGGTGTCCAAAACGCGTTGCGTCCCGAGTTCCAGCCTGGGTCACGTCACTAGTCAATGTGACGCAGTGGGCTGGGGACGGCCGGATGTAGGGCCAGGAGTGTCAACCGGGGCTGTGCCGGCTGCTAGTGACCCCGTGACCCCTGTGACTTCCTGCGCACTTGCACACATGTGATACTTCCTGTGAGGGACATGCCTCTCCTCCTGTGGGCGCTGAGCCTTCGGCACAGGGCTACCAAGCCTGTGACGTGTAAGAAGACAGGTGGTTTGGAGGTTGGCGGGTCAGAGGGGTCTGTCTACACTTCCTTACCGCTTATATAGCGCTTTTCTGGACACTCCACTCAAAGTGCTCTACAGGTAATGGGGACTCCCCTCCGCCACCACCAGTGTGGAGCCCCACCTGGATGATGTGACGCAACCATAGTGCGTCAGGACGCTCACCACACACCAGCTATCAGTGGGTTCAGTTTATAGACGGGGATTATTAGGAGGCCATGATTTGTATGAGCCAATGGAAAACTTGGCCAGAAACGCCCCTGGATTTTTAATGATTACAGAGATTCAGTTTTACGTCTCTTTCAAAGGACGGTGCCTTTTTACGGTATAGTGTCCCCATCACTATACTGGGGCATTACCCACATAGGCCTCGGGATGAGTGCCCCCTACTGGCCCCACTAACACCTATTCCAGCAGCAACCTTAGCTTTCCCAGGAGGTCTCCCATCCAGGTACTGACCGGGGTCACACCTGCTGAGCTCCAGTGAGCTGCCAGTTGTGAGCTGAGATGTGAAAAACACACAACTGGAGATTCTAAGCAGTTGATTTTCTAACAAAAAAAAAATTCTAAACAATTCTAACTTAAAACAAAAACACGTTGTTCTATTCATTCAGCACTTAAAAAATTCCATTAATTTTCCACGGTGTTACAGATAAACTGAGAAGATATGTACAATGTCTGTTGTGGTCAGTGGAGTTTCTCAGCTGCTGTCTCTTGCCCTCTGGTGTGAATGAGTAGCAGGTATTCCCGACATGTCCCTGTCCTCACTGGTGAAGGAACAGATAGAAGGAATGACTCCGCTGGCCATCTCACTCATCCCCCCGGCCAAGTTCTCCGTAAGTCCTCTAGGCTGTGTTTTTTGGGGAGGTGGGTATTTAAAACTAAGGTGCATGCCGGTACCCTGCATGTACCAGCTGATTGCAAACTAGGTTATTCTTTTTGTTAATTAAAACTTAAACAAGTATATACAGATAACTCACTTATTGTCTGGGGTTCTCATCTGTAGGCCTGGAGGTCCACCGCCTAATTAAGTTTTCTGTCCAACCAAGATCTTCATTAGAATATTAAACTAGTTATTTTCTTAACTGTGCCAGCTTAGCATTTCCTGCTCTTTTTTCAAAAGTTCTTCAGCTTTTGATGTTTTAGGGATTTCCAAAAATCTGACCAGCGGTTAAGAAAATGTCCTTTCCTGTATGAGTGTTGTCCCTGTGTTTCATGACCTTGCCCTCTTTCCTGCCCCTGAGCAGGTGGTGTTCAGTCCGGACCAGATCCGGATGTTCTCCTATGACCAGGCTGCAGCTGTGACCTCCAGCCAGCGCCAGGCCCTGAGCAGCATGCAGCTCACAGCGCTGTCCATGGTGCTGACGCCCTGGGAGGACAAGCCCGTGGACTTCAGGGGTGCGACACACTACCTTACGCTTTATATAGCACCTCTCACCACAATTAGTATCTCACAGCTATCAGCCAAACTTGTAAGAAGAAACTGAATCTCTTGGTCGTTCTCGAAAATTGAGTCAATGGGGAAAAAAAACCCACAATGGTCCTCATGTTGACATGGCCTGGTCAATATCTGCTTTGACCATGGCTTTCCAGAAACCAGGAGCAGGGGGATAGCTAGAAATGTCAACTTGGCATATAGCAACAGCAGATGCAGAGATAACCGTTCACATCATACTGCTTTACACTGAGAAACTCGCTATGGCCAGACGGAACTACTCTGAGCCTGATTCGTGTAATGGAATGAGCAGAGGTTCATTCCAGGCTGAAAAGCACAAAGAAGACATTAAATACTCTAAATATCTCAGATACAGAGCCATCCTCAGGGCAGTTCATTTATAATACCTACGAGCACATGCCCCTGGAACAAGCATTCACACTTTATAATGATCCTCAGCACCTTGATACTCATATAATATTCATCAACACTGAATGTTCACCTGATACTTGTTCACAATGAAGGAGCTGAACGCTGTGCTTTTGTCGCTGATTTCAATAAAGAACATGTGGCTCAGTAATTACATTAGTGTGGTAGTGTGTGGGTTGTCTTCTTCTCACTTCTCCCATGAAAGAGACTTTGGCAAAACAGCCAGACAGATCGTCACGCCCAGAGCCCAGTGATATGAACAGGATGGACTGGTGTGTCGCTCCAGAGTTGTAATGGAGCCTAAGAGAAAAGAGCTATGAAGGCAGCTATACTGTAGGACAGCAAGTGTTTTCCATCTTCCCAGACCTGAGCACTTCTTAGAGTGGTAACTTAAATCCTTCACACTGACATGAAATCTCTGGAAATACGAAGCGTGTTTGGCAGGTGAACAATAACAGAAACAAATGTCTGGAGAAGGCGGTGCCTGACGTGCTCCTCTCTCTGCGGTGCTGCTGCTGCTGTTGATTGCTACCCAGAGTGCAGTTCCTCAGTGTTGCTCTTCTTGTTGACAGGAAGGTCCACTGGACTGTCGCTGCAACCCGCCGCCTCCGTGCTGTTCCTGGGCCTGCTGTCGTTCTTCCTGTCTGGACACAGCCTGCTTCATTGAGGCAGACCTGCGCAGCACTCATGTGCTTGCACACACACTGGCACACACACTCATGTGCATGTACACACACACTAGCACACACACTCATGTGCATGTACACACACACACTAGCACACACACTCATGTGCATACGTACACACACACTAGCACACACACTCATGTGCATACACACCATTAGCACACACACTCATGTGCATGTGCATGTGCATGTGCATGTGCATGTACGTATGTACACACACACACACTCATGTGCATACGCACGCACACTAGCACACACACTCATGGGCATATGCACACATACTCATGCATGTACACAAACATGTACATGCACACAAATGCATGTATTCACACTAGCACACACACTCATGTGAATGTACACGCACTAGAACACACTCCTGTGCATGCACGCAAACGTGTACATGCGCACACACACACACTCATGAGCATGTACTCACACTAGCACACTCTTGTGCATGTACACAAACTAGCACACACACACTAATTTGCAACTACACAACCGTGCACACAAACACGTGCATGTAGATACACATACAAATACACAAGCACACACAAACACATGTTCATACACACACAGAGGACTCCTTACCTGCTTTTCAACGTCTCCACCTGCAATGTAGTTAATTTCTAATTTACTGGCCTTCTTCCTTTGTCTCTATTAGTGTTGCATAAATCTTTGAGTCCAACAGTCCCACAGCCTTGCAGCTCTCTGTTGATCATCAAGAGAGTAAGACTTGGGGAAAAGAACTCATCTCATCAAATTAAATACAGCAATCAGTTAAATTACATCATTAAGAACGTGGGTGGGAAAAGAACTGGAATTATGCTACCCAGGTGCAGAAATAACATACTTCCCAAGTAAATATTGGGATGAAGAAAAAATATTTAGATACAAACTGTCAGATATGTGTCCATAAACAGATTCAACTCTAAAGGCATCTGGAGCCTAACAGCGTGTTCTTAGGATTGTGTTGGAAAGTCTGCTTCAACTCCACATTTATGCGGTCCTGTCACAGGGGTGTGGGTTTACAACTGAGATGATGTAGTTACTGTTCCCCACATTTGACCAATATTGGTATTGGTAAACCAATATCATTAGTATGGTCCACAATAGAGAGACTTACCTATTTTTTCATCAGTTGAAAGTGGATAAAACTAGGATTCTAGAGAACATTGTTTAAAACTGAATGGCAGGTGCCTACGTTTTATACTGTAGTAGGAAAGCACAAAACACCAGCCCTCTTGGTGTGTTTTAAGGTGGCACAGACTAAAAGCAAATGATGATGTTAATCACGAATGATGAATAATAAAGTCAGTTGTAGCACTTATTATCAAGCGCCTGTTATTCCACGGCTATTGCGGAATTAGAAGGAATTTTCTGTAAGGCTTTTTTTTTCTTTGTCTCGAAATGTCGCGGACATTAATAGTGTGGTGTACACCGACTGTCCAACCCTGGGCCCAGAGGGCCGGTGACTCTGCGGGTTTTCATTCCAGCTCCGCCCTGAACGAGATAAACCAGCTGGTTACTGGTTTAACTGGACCGATTGAACAGCTCCCGTCAGCTCTGCAGGTGATGCTGCTCTAGAGACCTTTGTCCAACCGGGGTTGGACAGTCCTGGAGTAAAACGTGTTTTACACATATCCCTTTTTACGCAACGTAAAAATGGCTGATGTCTTCACATATTTGTAAAAACTGAGACTATTTCTTAAAAAGTGAGCTGGGTCATTATATTCTTTTCGTTATTTTTCAGTCTGCTGTGAATGTTGTTTTAATTATCTTTGTTTTGCTTTTTCAGGCTTTGTACCGCTCGTACGGAATATACTGTATACATTCACATTTCGATTCCTTTTTGTATTTCTCATATGAAACTATAAATGAAAACGTCATGTAATTATCGTCATACTGCTTTACTGCTTTCACTGAATTAAGATGTTAAATTGTGCTATTTTAAATGTATATTCAATTAATCTACTTATATAGTTCCTTGATCTCAACTATTAAGTACAATTATATAATAGAGCGTCTTGTTATATATTTTCAAGATTTATTTTTGTTATTGTAATAATTTTAAATCTACTTGGAGTGATACTGCACAATATTTTACTAATTTTGTGCTTGGTGATTAATTTAAATGCCTGATGTGTGCTTCTAGTATAACACGACAAAAACCGATGTGTGAATTTCATATGGTTATTGTATTGAACTTATTTTTCGTAAATATCATAAAAAGGACGGTATAATAAAACTTCTGTGTAGTAGAGAATATCGTCCGTCCTGTGTGCATCTGGATGTTCAAACATTGCTCATTAAACGAAATCAAGCATCTCTACGGTCTCTCCTGCGATTGTATTCCAGATCCGGAGCGCTG